CGAAAACTTGACGCTACAGCAGCTCTTCTTCTTCTTCGTTTTCTCTGATGCACTAACTCTGCAGCAGCACTTCTTCTTCATCGTCGTCTTGTCTGATGCACTCAACCAAGCATTCTAACCACGACCTCGCCCCTCCCCACCCCCCAACCATTCGAATTTCTGTAGGCGGGATTTATTTTAATGATATTCTAATGGACCGCTTTGTGACATCACAAAACCCCGGAAAACAACGCTGTAGTCCAAACGAGCCGTTCGTTGTAGTTCTTGAAAAGGGATTTTTTTTTTTAAACAAAATATCTCCCTTTGGAGTGGACTTTGAGATTTGTAACTTTGTGGATCTTTTTTATGCCACACACTACACACTGACTAAAATTAAAAAGTAAAAAAGCACAATAGGACCCCTTTAAGTTGTTTGACCAAGAAAGTATTGCTGGTTAGTTAAGACACCTAAAGGGACACCAACCATCTCATGCTAGGAACCAGCACCCAAAGCTGGAGTTCCTCCTTTTTTTTAATAATTATTTTTCTCACTCTATTGTACTTTTTTAAGTTTGAACCATCTTTCCCCCTCAGGTTGACCGGCAGTCTCAGTTCATCCAGGGCTACAGGGTTTTGTACAGGCAGATGTCAGGGCTGTCATCCCCAGGAGCGTGGCAGAGTCAGGATGTGAAAGTTCCCTCTGAGAGGAGCATGGTGCTCTCGGCTCTGAAGAAAGGCATCGTCTACGAGATCAAAGTCCGTCCGTACTTCAACGAGTTCCAGGGCATGGACAGCGAGTCCCGAACGGCAAGGACAACAGAGGAAGGTACAGCGTTTGATTCTTTGAAGTGATACAGGAGATATGTGATGTTTGAAGTCAACATGAAATCAAAACTGACCGTATTTACTTTCATAATACATCATTTATCTGTGTAACCTTTAATTAAAATAATTCATATGGATAGGGAAAGTAGCTATTTAGGTCATTTGTTTTGGGCTAATTTGTAGGTCATTCAGTTTTTCCAAAATACAGTCATGACTAATTCATAAAATAACTTACTATATTCTTAATTAACGTAGAATGTTCCGTTTTGGATCACATTATGGAAGTAAAAGGGGTTTGTGAATGCCTTTTCATGTTGACTTTCAAGTCACAGAGTTCTATAATTGATTTGTCGATGTCTTATGCTTCTGAAACCTACAGGTCACAGATACTAAGAGACACAAATGCAGACATAAGCCCAAAGGTTGGATCTCTTGCTGATTCTTTCCAGCTTGCTCTAAGTCCACAGCAATTTGGGCCAGTTATGCATAATCCACCCTTAGGCCACCGTCGTAACAAATACCGTAGTAAGCAATACTGGCCTGCTTTCCACAGCACTGCAGTAAGCTTGTCTCTATCCCTGACGGGACTCGGAGGAAAGACACTATCGTTTTGGCAAAGGAATTGACCTTTTCTTTGTTGTGGGTTGTGTGTGTTTATGGCTGACAGGACACTAAAATAAGCATGGGTTTCACTGAATTCTTTCCCTGTTCTCGTCCCCGTCACTCCCAATGGACTAAAAAAGACTATGTCAGCCATAGAGCCAGATTTATACTAACTCATTTGTTTCTGTATTTTACTTCAGACAACCACCAGTCCTTACCTAGCATTCAAAATAAACTTCTGCATAGAGAAAATTGACCAAGAGATTTATGTGATTTAGAAAATTATAATACTTTATATTTATACTATATATAGTATTATATGTTTATATTTATTTTAGTTGTAAATTAAATGTAATCCTTTGATTATATAATATATATTAATTATATATGTTTTTAATGATTTTACAATTTTTAGTTGTAAATAAAAATATTTTTTATTTATTCTGTTAATTTGATATTAAATGTATTGTTATTATATCATATTTTTTTATTTTAAAATATGTATGTATTATGTCATATACAATTACATTTAATAAATAATAAGTATTATTATTATTAAAATAGTTTCTGTTTTCTGTATTTCCATTAGACAACCACCAGGCTTAACCTACTGTTCAAAATTAACTTTTTGCATATAGAAAATTTCATCGAGATAAACAAATAAATATTACTTGTGCAATTATTTAATTATTTATCTAGAAATTTATATTTATAACTTTATATTTATTTTTATTTTTATTATTAATTAAAATAAATTCATTATTTTTATTTCATTTTATTTTTATTTTTAAATAGTATTGTGTAAAATTAATTGTAATATTTTTAATTGTAGGAAAAAATCTAGCATTATTTATTTATTTATTTATTTACTTATTTATTTCACTCATTAAAGCTACATTTTGCTCTCAGTTTGGTGCTTGGTCAGTTTTAATTTTCGGACCCTGTGGATCCCAGGACGTATCATCTTGGGTTATTGTGGCTCAGACAGGCAGGTTGTTACTTAATGTTGACCAGCGTCCAGGATTCACCAAAATGCTTTGAGATTTTCTCCCAGGTGTGAGCGATGGCTGCTACCTGACACACATCTTGGGGAAATAAAATGCATTTTTGAGAATAGTTTAAACGGCATATGGAACTCTCGAGACATAAATTCACACACACTCACGCGAGCACAGAAGGTTTGCTGATTAAAGTCTGAGCGCAATGACAGGCTCATTTGTTACCCAGAGTGTCCGCGGAGAGCCGTATCTCCTCCACACACACCAGCTCTGTCTCCTGAAGCCCCGCTGCACTGCCTTCACACCCTACACCTGCATGTCATCGCCATTACCAGAGCAAGACAAAACATCGGGTCCCCTGGCACAAGAGCGTCACGGGGCCCACGGCTGTGATAGCCCCCTTTTGTTTCTTGTTTTGCACTGTGTGGTAGTTGAGAAGGTTGGTCAGAGTCACAGAAGAGGATGATTTATTGGCCATTGTCTGATTAGACAATTACAGCTTCTCTCTGGAGCTCACCGTGTCTACTTCTTTTCTGTTTTTCATTTCTCTCTTACTTTGTCTTTTCCGAAAAGTAAAAGTGTTTTCGCTTTCGTTTAGACCTTCTGCTGAAGTGATGAATTTTGCAGGGAATTATCTAATTAAAACTGAACATGCTTACCAACCATAGCCTCCTCCAACTTACCATAGTTGCTGCAATAATTGTTACCATGGTAAAACTGTGATAAATTGTAAATATTGTAAAATTAATACATTTTTAATTGTAAATATTTATTTAACACTTTATTTTAAGGTAACCTTGTTACACGTTACATGTACGTACTATTATAATAACAATAAATTATGCATAATTACATGTAGTCATAACCTTAACCATATAGTAAGTACATGTAGTTAATTAATATTACTCAGTACTTAAATGTATAATTACACTGTAACAAGGACACCTTAAAATAAAGTGTAACCTTATTTAATTATTTAAATATATTTATTAAAATTAATTTGCAATTTTGAATTGTAAATTAAAAATAAATTATTTTATTTTTATCGAAATTAATGTAACAAATGATTGATATAATACGTAATTAAGTTTTTCTATTTTTATTATTATTTAGATTATTGTTTATTGGTATTAAGGCTCGTTCACACCAAGGACGATAACTAGGCTATAAAGATAACAATAAAGATATCGTTCTAAAAATCTTTCTCAATATTTAAGAATAGCAGAGTCCACACCACAGCTATAACGATAAAGGCACAGAGAAACGATATCGTTGGAATCACTTCCAGAACGATTTTTTCCAGCTGATGAACGATAAAAACATTGACAGCCAATCAGAATCAATTCTGCTATCACGAGCTCGAGAATTTAAAGCGACAGACGCGCGTGCGCTTAGAATAAACAGATGATATTGTCCGCTGGTGTGGACGCTAATATCGTTATCTTTATAGTTATCTTTATAGTTATCGTTCTTGGTGTGAACGGGGCTTTAGCGACCGCTGGAAAAAGGTTATTACACATACGTAAATGTAATATGACATATATTGCCCTATATCAAAAGTGATATTGCCATATATATTACCCATAAGGCATTATAATTTTCGCATATGTATATTATTTTGGAAGATTTATAGCATATAGATACATATAAAATCCCCATAGTAAAATTTGTACATGTTTTGATAATTATTTTTTATATAGTATTAAATGTAGCAACCATATATGTCAACATAATATTTTATTTATATACGCAACTAAAACAATATATATACAAAAATCTGTATGTTTATATATATAT